ATGAAGACTTCAACTCTAGTCATCAAATTTGGCAAGCCTATACGTCGATAAGTCTCAAAAAATGAATACACATTCATGAAGACTTCAACTTTGGTCGTCAAATTCGGAAAGCCTACACGTCTACAAGTCTCAAAAAATGAAAACATATTCATGAATACTTCAAGTCTCGTCGCCAAACTTCGGCAAGCCTACACCTCGACAAGTCTCGGTAGACACATAAATATTATTGGATTAAATTCATACGAAATTTGAATTAAATCCATGTTCATTTGGGCTGAATGATTAATTTGGGATTTACAAATAAATAAGTTTATTTTATTAAATTCAAATCTTAGGTCCATTTCACGTTGAAGCCCAAACTCATGTCATGTGTCAGAGTGACTAGGAATTCAAGACCAATAAAGCGGCGCCACGTGTCCAAATGAGATGGTAGTCCTAATTATGTGTAAGAACCAATCCCAAACCGCCAAGTGTCAAAATGACATCCTTTGGCCAATCATATGCAACCTGGTCCACCCCCCCTCCCCACAACTATAAATAGGGGATGTACATGACATTCTAGATTATGAAAACTCGTCAATAAGCATTTTGCAAGAATTGGAGAATGCTACAACACCAGCTACATAGTTCTTCAAATGAGTGGTCAACAGAGTTCTTCCTGAAGATCAACTTGAAACGACGAAGTACTTTCCGACGTTCCCAGAGATCAAATACATCTCAAGGAGATCTACATCTTCCTACATTCGAGAAATACGCTACCGAAGGCCCTCGAATCATGGAGAAGTTTAGGAGAGAAGAATCAAGAGAACACCAGAATTGTACTCACAATATTCATTAATAAAAAAACACATTTTTCTTTGATTTATTTTTCTTGCAGTTAATTTTTAGCACCTACGAAAATTTGTTGCGAACAAAATTGGCATGCTCAGTGGGACCGATTCTGCTCTTCATCTCTTTCTCCTGCAAACCAGAAACTACAAAGTCAACTACTGCAATGGCCTTCAGAAAGAGTAGGGATTTTTCATACAAAGACTCCAGTGGTGTCATATCTGCTAATCTCAGTCATGTTGGCCTGATTACTCAGCGTAAGTTCAAGAACAGTGGGCTAGATGGATTTGTATACTTCACTTCTTTGGAGACGATGAAAAACAACAACTCTCATACGATGGTCGTAACTGCAACACCTAGGGGAAATCTTGCATTAGTGTTGTTTGGAGAATTTTCTCAAATTGGCTCAGACTTTGGTGAATCTGAAGATTCAATGGATTCTCCAACTTCAATGAATGTCAATGCTTTGATGGCTGACTCAACCGACATGGACGAGAAGTTTGCAATGATGGAGCAAACCATTGAAGCCTTGAAAAAAATCTGTTGATGACAAAAATCTTAATATTGCTCAACTTATGAACAAGTTAGAGACATTCACACCCGGAGAGTAAAGTCATGTACCCACTTGTCCACCTAGTTTTGATGCATGAAACAAGGACGTTGAGGAATCTCTAGCGAAGTCAGAATTTCAAAAGGAGAAACAATCTGCTTCAGTTGCAGCATTATTTGTCCAATAGTTGCAAGACATGATAACAAACACTATCCGGGCTCAATATGGCGGAACATCACAAAGTTCCTTGTATTACTTCAAGCCATATACCAGACGGATTGATTGTCTATCAATGCCAACAAACTATCAACCACAAAAGTTGCAACAATTTGATGGCAAGGAAACCCAAGGCATCATATTGCCTACTTTTTTGAAATTTATAGTAATGCCGGAAGACATGGTGACGTTTTGGTAAAACAGTTTATTCGTTTGCTGAAAGGGAATGCATTCAACTAGTATATTGACCTCGAACATGAGTCCATTGATAGTGGGAAGCAACTCAAGAAGGAATTCCTCAATCATTTTTACAGTACTCGTCGAACCGTAAGCATGATAGAGTTGACCGGCACTAAGCAAAGAAAGGACGAGCCTTTGGTGGATTACATCAATCGTTGGAGATCATTGATTTTGGACTACAAAGACCGTCTTTCTGAAGTATATGTTGTGGAAATGTGCATTCAGGGTATGCATTGGGGACTTCTATACGTACAACAAGGAATCAAACCATGAACTTTTGAGGAACTTGCTACACGAGCGCATGACATGGAGTTGAGCATCGCAATTCATGGGAAGGCATCTCATTTTGCTGATCTGACGAAGGAAAAGAAGGAATTCAAGAAAGGTATCACCTCAAAAATCCAAAAAAAGGAATCTATGGTGGTGAAAGCAACTTCTGTAAAGGTCACCACCAAGAAGAAACTAAAAGAGGAGGAAGCCCAAGTCAATATCTGAAGGAGGAAAGGCGACATCCAACCTTGAAAGAATTAGTGGCCAAGGTCTACCCTTTTCCAGATTCAGACGTACCTATGATTCTTGATGAATTGCTAGCTAAGAAAGTCATTGATCTTCCGGAATCAAAGAGGCCCGAAGAAATCAATAAGGTTGGTCATCCTAAATACCACAAGTTCCATCGCATCCTTGGCCATCTAACAAGTAAATTCTTTATCTTGAATGAGAAAATCCTTATACTAGTAAGTGAAGGAAAAATCATTATTGACATGGATGAAACAGCGGAGGTGAATCATGCTAGTGTAGCACCCAATCAAAAGAAGTTCTCAAGGTCCCAAATTATGCCAAACACCATTTTCTTGAAATTCGGAAGTTTCACACCTATTGAAGTTGATTTTCCAAAGAAAACCCCTAAAGGTTCACTAGAGATAGACGACAATGAAGCTGATGGTTGGACTCTAGTTGCTCATAAGAAGAGGAGACATCAAGATGTTCTTTGGATATGGCTTCCTAAAAAAAGAGCAATAAGGAGTGATGTGAATCAACTACAACTATCAAAAAGCGTCAAGCCTTGTACTAGCCAAAATAGCAATGGTTCTTTATCGCAAAAGGTTCAGAGGCCCATTTCGTTAGATGAATTCTTTCCTGAAAAATTCCTTCACGGTAGTCAATTTGGTGTAACACATGTTGTTTCAAACACAGATGAAACAAAGGAAAGCAAAGGTGAGCATAATCCAGCAATATCACAAGAACATCAAACTGATGAAAAAGTTGTCCCATGTTGTGCTACAATTGCCTTGATGACTTGTTGTTAGGGTCTAAGCTATATAACATGCCTTTGTTTGTTGTAGGATCTATTCGGGAACAACATCTCAATTGCATACTAATCGATGGTGGTTCGACAGTCAATATCATGCCAAAAGTTATTTTGAAAAAACTTGGGATCTCTATTGATGAATTGTTCAGAAGTAGACTAACAATCCAAGGTTTCAATCAAGGAGGACAAAGATTCGCAGGAAAGATTCGCGTAGGATTTTCCATTGGCGACGTGAAATCAAACACTATGATTCATGTTATAGATGTTCAAAACATCATACAACTTGTTGCTCGAACGTCCCTGGGTTCATGAAAATGAAGTGGTACCATCTACTTTGCATCAATGCATGAAGTATATGAAAGATGGAGAGGTAGAAAAAATGGATGTAGACATCAATCCTTTCACTGAGACGGAGTCATATTTTTCAGATGCAAAATTCTATTTAGATTCTGGAAGATCAAATATGGAGGAACATGCACAAGCTGACTCAATTGATCTCGTATATAGTAAAGTTCAATGGGCCGCTATCAAGATGTCTAAGAAGAGATTAGATGTGGTTTCCATTAAGCTTTCACCATCTAAAAGAGACATACATACAAATATTGATAATGAGAAACCAATATTTTGCTACATTCCATGTGAACGTGAAAAGGGACAACCACTGTTAGAGGAATGTACTCAACAAGTTTACCCACCGAGGAAAGAATCGAGTCACACAACATTGGAAGATTTGAAGGAAAAATGATTGTCCCAGTTGCACAAGTCTCGTCTCTCCCTTTGGATCCATCCGAAGGCAATACCTAAGTTGGTAAGATAAAAGGGAACTTTCATCAAAACGTCTTCACATTATATGAAAAATCAGGTTACAACTTCTCAAATTCAGCAAAGTTAGAAGAACTCAGGGATGAATTCACTAGTGAAAAGATACATGGGCTTACAAAGTCACAAATGCGGTTGAAAAAGAAAGGATATTATGTCGCCACTCTTAGGTTTGGTTTGGATTCAGCTTGCCGGAGCCTTTTCAGATTTCATCTAAGAAGGAAAGGGAAAAGAATTCATCCCACCACACCTTTGTAGAAAAACAAAGGAGTCTAAGGAGGGTAAAACACCACGATGGACTTTGATGTTTTAACGCATTGGGAGATTGACACCCCGTGTCTCTGCATTTGAAAGATTGGGCCACAAAGATGAAGATGAATCTTCTGAACAAGTGGAGGAGATGCCACCATCTCAAACACCTCTGTATTTAATCGCTTGGGAGCAAACATGAAGTCATTATCAGGAAAGACGTTGTAGGAGCTTGAAAATCAAGATTTTTGTGATGTGACCGATAACAAAGAGATTCATAGTGTCTTTTCATCACGTATGAAGAGAAAGACTGTATTGTCAATTACCACAGATAGTTCATTGAAAGTAAAAATAAGCATTGTTGTTTTCACCAACCAGTTTCATGAAAAAATAAAACAGGAGAAAAGAAAAGCCATCATAGTCTTCGTAGGAAATCAGAGGGAAGATTCAAACTTGATACAATCATCATATCACATAATAGTGGAAGAAGGTCCACACATTGATGATACAAATGATAATGTCCAAGAGGCTCCCCCTCAACTAGAGGATGACATACAATCAATCATAGACGACCTCAAGGAACTAAATCTTGGAACTCTGGAAGATCTACGCCATACATTCATTAGTGCACTTCTTACACCACAAGAAGAGGGGAAATACTTCAAGTTATTGGTTGAGTACAAAAATGTTTTTGATTGGTCGTACAGAGAAATGTTGGGCCTTAGTCCCATGATAGCTATTCATCATTGGGGATAAAATGGAACACGTCCTATAAAATAGTCACAACGAATGTTTCACCCTGAGTTGGTAACACAAATAGAAGCGGAGGTCAACAAGATCATCGAAGATGGATTTATCCAAGAAGTGAAGTACCCATTGTGGATCTCAAATATTGTACATGTTAAGAAGAAGAATGGTCAAATACGTGTCTGTGTTAATTTTCGAGATTTGAACAATGCATGTCCAAAAGATGATTTCCCTCTGCCAATCATTGAGCTCATGGTTGATGCTACAACTGGGCATGAAGCTATGTCATTTATGGATGGTTCTTCTGGATATAATCAAGTCATAATGTCTCCAAAACCTGAAGAATACACTGTTTTCTAAACTCCAAAAGGGATTTATTGTTACAAAGTGATGCCCTTTGGTCTAAAGAATGTTGGTGCCACCTACCAACGTGCAATGCAAAACATATTTGATGACATGCTTCATAAGAGTTTGGAATGTTACGTCGATGACTTGGTGGTAAAAACGAAGAAAAGGGAACACCATCTTGAAGACCTTTGAATTGTTTCTGAGAGGTTAAGCAAATTTGACTTAAAGATGAATCCACTCAAATTTGCATTTGGGGTTACCTGAGGAAAGTTTATTGGCTTCCCTGTGCGTCACTGTGGAATTGGAGTTGATCCAGTAGAGATTGATGCCATCCAAAAATGCTTGAGCCAAAGAACTTGAGAAACCTCCGCAGTCTACAAGGAAATTTTGAATTCATTCGGAGATTCATCTCTAACCTGGATGGACGATGCCAACCCTTCAACCATTTAATGTAGAAAGATGCTCCTTTCCACTGGGACCAATCATGGCAAAATGCTTTTGAAAGGATCAAAGGATACTTGTTGAATTCACCTGTATTAGGGGTACCAACTCTTGGAAAGCCGTTAATACTATACATTGCATCACAAAAGCGATTACTTGGGGCACTTCTTGCTCAAGAGAATGAAGCTAAGAAGGAACAAACACTATACTATCTGAGTCGGACTTTGATAGGAGCTGAGTTTAATTATATGCCCATTGAGAAGATGTGCTTAGCATTGCTTTATACGATAAAATAATTGAGGCATTATTTTGAAGCGTACACTATCAAGCTAATTTCTTGGACTGATCCTGCAAAGTTTGTAATGACTCGACCAATTTTCTCAGGACGTCTAACAAGATGGTCTATATTGTTTAATCAATATGAGATCATATACAAACCTCAAAAAGCTGTGAAGGGGCAATCCTTGCTAATTTCCTTGCTGATCACCCTCTTCCGGGAAAATGGGAAACTTCAGATGAGTTTCCTAATGAAGATGCATTTTTTACTGAAGAACTTCTGGAATGGATGATGTTCTTTGATGGATCTTTACGTCGATATGGTGCAGGGGCAGGAGTCGTGTTGATATCCCCAGAAAGACTAATCTTTCCATTTTCATTTGTTCCAGGTGAAACATGTTCCAATAACGCCGCAGAGTACCAAGCTTTAATTGTGGGCCTTGAAATAACATCAGATATATGAGAAGATTCCTCAATTGGATAACAATGATGACTCTCAATTGACCATCAATCAACTCTTGGGGAGTTATGAGGTAAAGAAGGAAGATCTTTTGTCATATCACCAATATGCTACTTTCTTACTTGAAAGGTTTGATCAAGTGTTCTTGAATCACGTCCCAAGAGAAGAAAGTCGCATGGTGGATACTTTGTCTTACTTGGACACAACAATGGCACTCAGAGAAAATGAGAAAACAAAGGTGTGTGTATGTCATCGATGAGTTATTCCTAGTTGTCTTGATCTTCAAATCAATGAAAGCCACCATATAACTGTTCGAGTGGTTGGAGACAAAGATTGGAGAAAACCATTGATTCAGTATCTTGAACATGGAAGGCTGCTTGGGGATCCACGAATAAGAGCAGACATTAAGAGAAGGGCACCACGATTCATCTTTCACGAGGGAATACTGTTATGTCGTTCTTATGAGGGACTATTCTTACAGTGTCTTGACAAAGAAGAAGCTCAACAAATAATGGAGGAGGCACATTCTGGCACATGTGGAGCACACCAATCAGGGCCTAAACTTCATTTTCACATCAGGAGGATGGGCTACTATTGGCTAACAATGGTGATTGACTACTTAGAGCATGCCAAAAAGTGTCAAGCGTGTAAATTCCATGCTAATTACATCCATCAATCTCCAGAGGCTCTACATCCAACTGTAGCCTCATGGCCTTTAAATGCATGGGGACTTGATGTTATTGGACCTCTTCCAAAGTCGTCAAAAGGACAAATGTATATCTTGGCTGCCAGTGCTATTTCTCTAGATCGGCTGAACTTGTGCCATTAAAAGAATCAAACATAATTTTTAGATATGGCATACCAAGATGTATAGTTACTGATAATGGAACACCCTTCATTAATAAACTCATGAGTAGTTTGTGCGAGAAGTTCAGTTTTAAGCAACATAAGTCTTCAATGTACAATGCACCTGCCAATGGTCTTGCTGAAGTTTTTAACAAGACACTTGGTAACCTGTTGAAGAAAGTATTTTCAAAGAATAAAAGAGACTGGCATGAGAGAACTGGTGAAGCTTTGTGGTCCTATCGTACAACCTTTAGAACGGCTACGCAAGCGACTCTGTTTTCATTGGTGTATGGCATAGCAGTCCTTTCATTGGAGAAGCAAATTCCATAATTGTGAATAGCAATTCAAGTGGGACTTACAACTGAAAGTAACGCTCAACTTCGTCTAGCAGAGTTGGAAACATTGGATGAGAAGAGATTAGAAGCACAACAAAGGTTGGAGATTTATCAAGCTCGACTTGCGTGAGCATACAACAAGAAAGTGCAATCTCAATCATTTAAAGTGGGAGACTTGGTCTTAGTAGTCAGGAGACCCATAATCTTCAACAAACGCATCGGTGACAAGTTGACATCAAAATGGGATTGGCCGTATGTTGTGAAGGAAGCATATTCAAGTGGTGCCTATAAATTTGTAGACCAAGACGGTGTAAGAGTTGGTCCAATCAACGCCAATTTTTTGAAGCAATACTTCCCATGAAGGTTGCCTATGCTCCTTAAGGTATGAGCATAAACTGCATGTTACTCCTAGCCCACAAGAGTATAAACTGTGTACGGCCCAATAAAACTCATCATCTTGAACTACGATATGACTTGATCCTCTTCATCGAGGACGTAGGCGCTTGGAGTAATCACTCTAAGCTCAGTCAAAATGAGTAAAAAAAAGGGGGGGGGGTTGGTGGAATTGTGTGTTCATCACACTAGATCTTTAAAATTATATAGCTAGCACGTGAGTTCAAATGCATCACAAATGAGCAGAGGAGAAGAGTTAAGCAAGACATCCTAGCTAACTTCAAAGGCGTATTTATAAAAATTCGCAAAGGTTTTGACCATGATTTTTACATATGTTGCATTTCTTAGAGTCTACTTCGCAACCGACAAATCAGCTCATGATTCAAAGGCTTCTACGCTAAGTTATGAATTTTCTACCACGGCCGCCAAAAGCTAGAAAAAAAATCATCATATTTTGGAGTTTATCTGAGCAGACTTCAAAGGCCTATTTGTGAAAATTCATAAATAATTTTATCATGATTATTACACATATTTCAGCTCTTGGAGTCCACTTTGCAATGAAAAAAGCAGCTCGTGATTTAGCTCCTACGTCAAGTTATGAATGCTCTACCACGGCCGCTCAAAGTTGTGAAATAGACCATCAAATTTTGGAATCAATTTGAGCAGACTTCAAAGGCATATTTATGAAAATCCATAAAGAATTTGATCATCATTTTTACACACATTGAAGTTCTTGAAGCCCTCTCCGCAACAAAAGAAGAAGCTTGTTATACAGAATCTCCTACATCGAGTCATAGATCTGCAACCATGATCGTTCAAAGTTGCATATCAAACATGGTAGATATGGAAGTCAACTTCGGGCTAATGAATTCATTGGTATTTGATCAAGCGACTTGCAATTCAACTTGAGTTTTTGCTTGTGGTGGAGATAATTTTGTGTAATTCACGGATGCTTCAGTAAGTTACTAAAAATTAGGGGAATCTTTACCTACAACATCAAATCGGGATACCCTTCGAATCAAAGTTCTATGTTGAAATGGTGTACCCACAAAGATCATGATGTTAACACTCCAAGTTCAAGAGACAAGTTTTTTTTTTGTCAAGAGCGCACAAAGTTGAGGAATTGACATTCTGGGCGAATAGTAAACTTGAAAATTTTATTCTTATCAAATTGGAGTGAATTTTGTTGTAACTTCTATAAATAGTGTTGTTCTTGATGCGCTCGTCACAATGAGATAAGGATCTCATAGTTTCATCACTCTTACATCGAATTTTGGACTTAACACCAAAGACGTGTTCCTCACATTGAAACATGAATCTCATAGTTTCAGAATTTGAGCTAACTTTGAAATGTATCTGTATTAATCTGGAAAGCTTTTGATTGTGATTTTTACATATGTTGTTTATCTATGAGTTATTCTTCCAAAGGAAGAAAAATCACATCATTTCAAGGCTCCTATGTCGAGTTATTGATTTTCTCCCAAACCTGCTCAAAGCTGAAGAGTTGAGCGGCATAGAATTTGAGCTAACTTTAAATATACATTTGTACTAATCTGGAAAGCTTTTGGCCGTGATTTTTACATATGTTGTACGTCTATGATTTATGCTTCTAACGGAATAAGAACCGCATCATTTCAAGGCTCCTACGCCGAGTTATTGCTTTTCTCCCAAAGCTGCTCAAAGCTGAAGAGTTGAATGAGATAGAATTTGAGCTAACTTTAAAGTGACAGAAAATAAATTACAATCACAAATAAAATATGAAGAAACATATTTTTATTGATCAAGATTGTGAGTATAATTTTGTTCCTCCCTTGATTCTCCTCTCATAATATTTATCCATGATTCGAGGGTTGTTAGTGTCGTATTTATCGAACTAGGATGATTTAGATTTGACCTCTATATGAATATTCCATCAATTTTGTGGAATATTAGAGATATTCAAGATCTTTAAAAATATCCAAGAGTTTATGGGATATTTGAGTTCCACAATAGGTACTTCACTTCTCGGATACATCCAGCTTCGATGAGCTTGTTGACCTCCACTTCAATTTGTGTTACCAACTCAGGGAGAAACACTCGTTGTGACTGCTTTATAGGTCGTGTTCCATTTTTTATCCCCAAATGATGAATAGTTATCTTGGGACTAAGGCCCGATATTTCTCTGTACGACCAAGCAAAAACGTCTTTATACTCAACCAATTACTTGAAGTATTTCCTCTCTTCTTGTGGTGTAAGAAGTGCACTAATGAAGGTTGGGTGTGGATCTTCCAGAGTGCCAAGATTTAGTTCCTTGAGGTCGTCTATGGATGCTTGTACGCCATCCTCTAGTTGAGGGGGAGCCTCTTGTACATTATCATTTGTATCATCAATGTGTGGACCTTCTTCCACTGTTATGTGATAGGATAATTGTATCAAGTTTGAATCTTCCCTCTAATTTTCTATGAAAACTGTGATGGCTTCTCCTTTATCCTTTTTTGTTTTTTCATGAAACTGGTTGGTGAAAACAACGGTGCTTCTTTTTACCTTCAATGAACCATCTGTGGTAATTGACAATACAGTCTTTCTTTTCATACGTGATAGGAAGACACTATGAATCTCTTTGTTATTGGTCACATCACAAAAATCTTGATTTTCATGCTCCAACAACGTCTTTCCTGATAATGACTTCCTTTTTGCTCCCAATCGATGAAATACAGAGGTCTTTGAGGTGGTGGCATCTCCATGCACTTGTTCAGAAGATTCCTTTTCATCTTTGGGGCCTAATCTTTCAAATGCAGAGATACGGGGTGTCAATCTCCCAATGCGTTCAAACACCGAAGTACGTCGTGGTGTTTTACCCTCCTTAGACTCCTTTTTTTTTCTCTACAGAGGTGTGGTGGGATGTAGTTATTTCCTTTTCCTTCTTAGATTAAATCCAAAAAGGCTCCGGCAAGCTGAATCCTAACCCAAACCTAGGAGTGGCGACATAATATCCCTTCTTTCTCAACCACATTTGAGACTTTGTAAGGCAATCTATCTTTCCATCAATGACTTCATCCCTGAGTTCTCCTAACATTGTTGGATTTGAGAAATTGTAACTTGATTTTTCAAATAATGTGAAGACCTTTTGATGAAAGTTCCCTTTTATCTTACCAAATTGGGTATTGCCTTTGGATGGATCCAAAGGGATAGACGGGACTTGTGCAACTGGGAAAATCATTTTCTCCTTCAAATCTTGGAATGTTGTGTGACACAATTCTTTCCTCGGTGGGTGAACTTGTTGAGTACATTCCTTTGGTAGTGGTTGTCCCTTTTTTCGACGTTCACATGGAATGTAGCGAAAAATTGGTTTCTCATTATCAATATTGCTCTGTATGTCTCCTTTAGATAGTGAAAGCTTAATAGAAATCTCTTCTATTCTGTTCTTAGACATCTTGATAGTGGCCCATTGAACTTTACTATCTACGAGACCAATTGAGTCAGGTTGTGTAGGTTCCTCTATATTTGATCTTCCAAAATCTAAATAAAATTTTGCATCTGCAAAATAGACTCCGTCTCAGTGAAAGGATTGATGTCTGCATCGATTTTTACTACCTCTCCATCATGCATATACTTCATGCATTAATGCAAAGTAGATGGCACCACTCCATTTTCATGAACCCAAGGACGTCCGAGAAACAAGTTGTATGTTGTTTTGCCAACTATAACATGAATCAAAATGTTTGATATAACGTTGCCAATGGACAATCCTACACGAATCTTACCTAAGGATCGTTGTCCTCCTTGATTGAAACCTTGGATCGTTAGGTTACTTTGGACAATTCATCAATAGAGATCTCGAGTTTTTTCCAAACTACTTTTGGCATGATATTGACTGTCGAACCACCATCAATTAGTATGCGATTGAGATGTTGTTCCCGAATAGATCCTACAACAAACAAAGGTATGTTATGTAGCTTAGACCCTAACAACAAGTCATCATCTGTGAAGGCAATTGTAGCACAACATGGGGCAATTTTTTCATCAGTTTGATGTTCTTGTATTATTGCTGGATTATGCTCGTGTTTGCTTTTCTTTGTTTCGTCTGTGCTGGAAACAACATGTGTTGCACCAAATTGACTACCGCAAAGGAATTTTTCAGGAAAGAATTCATCTAACGTAATGGGCCTTCAAACCTTTTGCGATAAAGAACCATTGATCTTTTGGCTAGTACAAGGCTTGACGCTTTTTTATGGTTGTAGTTTATTCACATCACTCCTTATTGTTCTTGTTTTAGGAAGTCGTATCCTAAGAACTTCTTGATGTCTCCGCTTCTTATGTGTAACTAGAGTCCAACCATCAGCTTTATTGTCGTGTATCTTTAGTGAACCTTTCGAGGTTTTCTTTGGAAAATCAACTTCAATAGGTGTGAAACTTCTGAATTGCAAGGAAATGGTGTTTGGCATAATTTGGGACCTTGAGCACTTCTTTTGATTAGGTGCTACACTAGCATGATTCGCCTCCGATGTTTCATCCATGTCAATAATGATTTTTCCTTCACTTACTAACATTGTGATTTTCTCCTTCAAGATAAAGCATTTACTTATCGGGTGGTCAAGGACACGATGGAACTTGCAGTATTTAGGGTCACCAACCTCATTGATTTCTTCGAGCCTCTTTGATTCTGGAAGATCAATGACTTTCTTAGCTATCAATTCATCAAGAATCATGAGTACATCTGAATTTGGAAACGGGTAGACCTTGGTCTCTAATTTTTTT